GGTTCATGCCAACCCTGAACCCTAAACCCCTAAACCCTACACCCTGAAACCGAAAACCCTAAACCCTAAATTAGGATCCCCTTTGAGGGTCCTTGTAGTTCTAAGCCTCTAAGTAAACCGGGTCCCAAGAACCCTAAACCCCTAAACCCTAAACCCCTATAGACCCTAAACCTCTAAGTCCTAAACCCTAACCCCTAACCCCTGAACCTTTATGTAAAGCCTAAGTTCTTGCCAAATGCGAGCGGTAATTTGGAATCGCAGCCTTCTATCAAAGTCGGAAACAGCCGGTGGGGTTGCTGTACGATTGAGGTTGGAGGCTGAAGGTGTACCTTTAAGGGTTTTAGGCTTTTAGGTTTAGGATTTAGGGATTTTTCGTAGGTTGTGATTATAAACCCTAATATAAAATTTATAGGGACCCCACAAAAAGTAGGTTTTGGTAGGTTGAGCTTTAGGGTTTAAGGCACGATTGAGCTTGGAGACCTAGCGTTTCGAACTGTTTGAGGCCACTTGCTACGCGACTTCAAAACAGGGTTTAGGGTTTAGGGTCGGAAGGAAGTTGAATGAGTGGGTAGCTTGGTAGATGCCACGGAAGGCTGTCTCTCTGGCCGTCTTCGCAGGGCAGCTTGCATAATAAGCGGTATCCTTATTCCGAACTTAGGCAGCACTGTCTCCTCACTGCCAAACTGCATCCTAAATCCTAAACCCCTAAACCCCTAAACCCTTAAACCCTAAACCCCTAAACCCCTAAACCCTAAACCCCAAACCCACCCTAAACCCCAACCCTAAACCCTAAACCCTAAACCCTAAACCCAGCAAGTGCAACGCACGACCATTGCAACAACCCTGGAGACTTTTCATCGGGCTATGCTCCGAGTGTTTCCCAGAGCCTCCACATATAGTACCATTATGGAATTAGGTCCCAAAAGACCATCGCCATTAAGGCTTTAGGGACCTAATTCCATAATGGTACTATATACGGAGCCTCTGGGTTTGTGTGTGCTATATTATAGGGGCCTCAGTAGTCAGAAATGATTAGGGTTTAGGGGTTTAGGGTTTTAGGGCTTCAGGGTTTAGGGGTTAGGGGTTTAGGGGTTTAGGGATTTGGGGTTAAGAGTTTCCCTACTTGGAGGGTCGGGGGACTTAGTAAGTAGGTAATAAGTAGACTTGTAAGTACCCCAAAAGGGACCCTAATTGGGGTTATGGTACTTATAAGTCTAAAAAATAAGTATTTACCTAGTCCCCCGACCCTCCAAGTAATAGTCACCTATATTGTTTTTGGGTGTCTTTATAATTATGATTATAGCATAATGGCCAACAAAACCAGGCAATATAAGGGCCCTAATAATTACCCATTCTATTTTGGGGGTTCCTTAATATATTTACAGTATAATGGGCGCCCAAAACCTTATTCCAATGATTAAGGCCCCGATATTAGACTGGAAAGTGTGGCCAGGGATGCTGCTTTGTCAAACTAGCCTGGAGGCGAGCCGCACCCGGGCTACCACATTTTTCAGGTGGGTAGTTACCGTTATAGGAGCCTTATAGAAGGCCTATATACCTTATAGAAGCTTTCTAGAACCCCTATATACCCTAAACTCCCCACCTGCAGTTTCCTTTAACTATTGAGCAGGATGTTGTACAAAACCCACAGGCCCCTGAACCCTCAACACTCAACCCTTATCGTACCCCTCTTTAGGGTTTAGGGTTTAGGGTTTAGGGTTTTCTTGAACCCTAAACTTTTATAGTACCAGTGTACAGCCTTTGAAGGAACCGCCAACCCAGAATCCTTCTAGCACCTTCAACTTTAAACCCTACTTGGAGGGTCGGGGGACTTCGTAAGTGGGTACTAAGTCAGCCTGTAGACACTCCAAAACGGGATCCTATTTGTGTGGTGTTGATATGTACGGGCCCATAAAGTAATTACTTACAGTGTCCGCCGATTCGCCAAGTACACCAGAAGCCGAACTCCTTTCACCCAGGACCGCTGGCGGAGTCACCACGACGGGCAAGCCAACGAAGGAGTGCAGCTTCTGCTACGATGAACCTGTTTGGGATTGCGAGTTTAGGCTATGGACTTTGGAGTTTGAATTAGCCTTTGTCTGTAAGTTGGATGGGTCACATCGAGCTGATGAACATCAAACTTTTTCGATAGATGTAGTAACTGAGTAGGTGAATTGAATCTGGAGGTCTTGGTCCCAAAACCCCTAAACCCCTAAACC